TAGAGTGGTCTCTCATTTACACATTTGTTAATGCAAATTGATATATAATCTGTATTTAATGCAAATGTAAATAGAAAGAAATCTCATATTAGCAAGTTCACATAGAACAATGGTAGTTACAGCTTCAACCTCCATCCCCATATGGAAAAAAAATATGTTTGAAATATATTTTAAAAATATTCTTCCCAAATATATTGCCATATATTGAAAATGCTACAGTTTTGGCCATATTCATTATATTTCAATAAATATATTTATATGTTAAAAATAATCTGAAGAATATATTTAGAAAAAAAATTTCTTAAATGATATATTTTTTAAATATATTCATCAGATTTTTTTTAGTATATAAAAAAGTAATTTTAACATATATTTGTAAATGCATTCCAAAAATGTAGATTTGTATTTTTAAAGACATACAGTATATTTGAAATGTATTTTTAAAAATATTTTTCACATATCTTGAAATAAAAATGTATTTCAACATGCAATGTATATATATATATATATATATATATATTGAATATGGCCAAAATTGTAGCATTTCAAATATATGGCAATATATTTGGGACAAATATTTTTTAAATATATTTCAAATATATTTTTCTTCCATGTGGGTCCTTTGCCATTTGTTCACTGATGTGATGAGTGACATTACTGTTAGTAAAACAGGATTTATATAGCGTCAACAGTTTGCTCAGCGCTTTACCATATAAGTTTGTTCACCTTTACCAAAAAACTGCCTATGCAGATTAGGGATGTCTCCAGATGAAAACAAGCTGTGCAGCTCTGACTAAAGTTAACCATTTCAATACCGGGCAATTTTACACCTTCCTACCCAGGCCATTTTTCAGGTTTCGGCGCTCTCACAATTTGAATGACAATTGCACGGTCATACAACATTGTACCCAAACTAAAATTTTATCATTTTCTTCACACAACTAGAGCTTTCTTTTGGTGGTATTTAATCACCACTGAGGTTTTTATTTTTTTGCTAAATTAACAAAAAAAGACCGAAAATTTTGAAAAAAAACACGTTTTTCTTTGTTTCTGTTATAAAAGTTTGCAAATAAATAATTGTTCTTCATAAATTTAGGCCAAGATGTATTCTACTACATGTCTTTGGTGAAAATAACCCAAATTAGGATGTATTTTTTTAGTGGGATATATCTGAATATTGATCAGTCCTGAAGTACTGACAGCCAATCTAATTTCTTGAGGTCCAAGAATGTCAGAACAGAAATATTTTCACTATTTTTTTTTACATACTGTCACCAGTGCAGTACAGCGTCATCATATAACTGGCATGGCGGTGATCAGGGACACTGACTGGTGACAGTAGGAAAAAAATATATATATAATTTTTTTTTTTATTATTTTTAATTTTTTATTACTTTTTTTCTTTTTTTAAAGATTTTTTTTTATATTTCACTATGACCAAAGTAGTATAATGTTACCATAGTAACATTGTACTACTTTGGGGAAGTGATCAGTATTTTTTTTTTTTTTTACACAATTTGCTTATAGCAAGGAATTACTTTGCTATAAGCAAGCATTTACCTGAATGATATCGATTCATTCAGGGTTTTTTTTTTTTTTTTGTGCTTAGCTGTGATTTGGCCACGGCTAATCACATGACACAGCTAGGCTGTGATTGGCCCAGCTTGTGCATGTGATTGCTGTGACCATTCACAGCTAGCCACACTAGTATACAACTGTCATGTGACCTGCTGTGATTGGTCACAGCAGGTCACATGGTACCAACAGGACAGGTACTCAGATCTGTCATCGGCCGTGTCCAAGGTACACGGCCGGTGACAGATCGCGCCGCTCCGCGGCTTTGCAGGCGCACAAACTGCGCATGCCCAGGAGGACGCCATATGGCATCCACCCGGGATGCTGAAGGATTTTGCTGGCCGCCCAATGGCCATTGGCCAGGCGGCTAATGGTTAAAGGATAAATTCACCCGTTTTTAGGGTGGAACATGTAACATGTTCCCATAGCCGCAGCCGCGCCCGCCACTCCTCCCCTCTGACAAATAGTTCAGGCAGAAGTCTCCCCGTGCTATTTGTCAGATTTGAAAACACCGTGGCTGTGTGGGGCTCCACCCATACGGCCACATCACTCATTCACAGTGAATGAGAGCCTATAGGTCCCGACAGCCTTAGCAGCTGTGGGCTTGTAGTTTTCAATGAACTACCACGCTGTTGAAAAAAGGAATAAATGTGATACAAGAAGTGCCATCATCCCTAGAAGATACAATGGAGAAGCCCTCTTGTTGGTGGGATTTGTAAGGCACATGTTAGACCAAAGAGTATCCTAACAATTAACGATTTAAAAGAGTGCCGTGGTAGTTCATTGAAGCTCCCTGTCAGTAAATCTGCTTGCTCATACATCCCGTACGGCAAGCAGATATTCTGACAGGTCTGCAGGAGACCTGCATGGCATCTGTGATCTACTGATCGCTGGTGCAATGCTTTCCAGGCTCCTTTGGACAAAAATAGAAAAAATTCAAATTTTTTCACCTGCAAAAAAATGTGCATTTATTATTATCCTTTAAATAATGCCCTTGCTATAGGTGTAGGCCATTTACATACCTCATGGAGCCTGACCTGAAATATCAGAGAAGGTTGCTAAACAAGGCCTAGCCGTTACTGTTCACCTGCACCATCGCAGGAGTGAGCACATTCTTTGATTCAAAACTTCTCACATGTGTTTTCTCTCCTCTAAAGCAGTAGCTCTGAGCTCAGAATGTGAGAACTCATTCCTGTGATGGTGAAGGTGAACAGTAATGACTATGCCTCACTTAGCAACATCCTAGCAATGTCCTGGGAGTATTCCAGTCAGGTCTCAGTTGGTACGTTAATGGCCTACACCTATAGCAAGGGCATTAGTAAACTTTAGTCAGAGCTACACGGTTTGTTTTTTATGTACAGACACCCCTTATAGGAAGCTTTTTGGTAATGGTGAACTACCCTTTTAGGAAAGCAGTAGCACAGTGAGATATCATCTGTCTACACAACCCTCTATGTCTCCCATTGTCTCCTTTATTGTACGGTGCAATATCCATTGTACACAACAGTACATGCTTACATCTGCATTGTTTCCAATCCCAAAACTACACAGTACTGTACATTTTTTAAAATTTGCCCTGCATTTGTGCTGCCAGCATATTTATTTTCATGTTTTTTTTATTTGATTATAAATGTATGAGTTGTAGGTAGGGCTGTGGATATGGGGGTACCACCAGTCCTCCTGTACAGAGCCCAGCCCAACAGGGGGGCCCATGCAGCTGGGTGAGTTAGTGAATCAGGGCAATTACTGGAACCGATGAATGGCTCTTTCTGCAGCAGCTGAAAGCTTCTCTTCTCCCTCCTACTGGCTTTCAGCTTCTGCAGAGAGAGACATACAGGGGATTGGTTGCCCCCACCCCTCCCTGGCTGCACCCATCACCCTCCCTGTGCACCATACATTGCCCACACCCCCTCAGTGCTGCAAACTTCCCTCCTCTCCTTCCCACCGGCAGCTGCAAGTACAGATCCTTCAGGATGGAGAGCAGGGGAAAGGTCCGGTAAATATGTCACATTTACCAGGCCCTACCTTTCCTGAATGAACACAATGAGTGATCGGTAAATATCAATCACTGTGTTCATTCATAAACCGAAGCATAGTAAACTATTTCTTTTGCAGAGGGCCCTGTCAGGTTGGCTGTATTGGGCCCTGAGATTTCTAACTGCTGCCCTGGTTGTAGGTATTTGTTGGATGAGAGGTGTCATCATTTACTGATACAGGGTGTAAGTAGTATAAAAACTACATACAATGCAACTGTAGCAGTCAGCATTATTTTGGTGGGAAGCAATTGTTACAATTATGGCAAATCTGAAATACATGCATATTTTTTATAGAAGGTAACAATGACTAAATAGAAAAGAAAAACAATTCTCTGTGTTTGCAGTTAGGAAACCTTCACTACAGCAAAGAGTGTAATGAATGGTATGATTAAAAATTATATATGAAATGTTCAAAACAGTTAATACAAAATCAGTAGTATGGTAGAGAGTTCAGTGAAATGCTAGGACCAGTAAAACTATTGTTTCATTTTCATTTGGTTTTAAATTCACAAATTATGTATTCCCTACAGACATGGACTTAACAGCAAGGATATTTCTCTGATTGTGGTTGAAATGTCCCCAGCAATGGGTCAAGAAGGCAACAAAGTTCATTATTCTGCTGTTTTTAGAGCTTGGAGGATTAGATTGAGCTCATAGCACCAGGTTTCGTATCTGTAGGCCATCCTTATCTGAGCTACATTTGTCTTACGGATATCATTTCCTTGAGGCCCTTCCTTGTGATAGTCTTTTCCCAAGAAATGTTCTTTTTCCTAGACAAATAAAATACATGGAGCATAATATTAATGCACATAATACAATTTATTAAAATAATTTTTCATGCTATCTTAAAGTAAAGTTGGACTCTGGACACATCTTATGGCTGTATTGTTGAGTCGGATTGTCCATACAGCAATCTAGATGCATGTTGACATGTCAGCATGTCTAAGGATTTGAGAATGTTCACACAATAAAATGTTTATCCAGTCATGTGCAAAGAAAATCCCTATTAATTTCATGTCATCTGTACATGATTAGATAATTCATGTGAACATTCATACAATTGATTTTGGGAACATTCTTGAATTCCTTAGTAAATCAGACTCATTGTCTATTAGAACCATAGGGAAAATTAAAGTGTTACTAAACCAGGACCCTGCATTTACTATATCTGGTGTCCCACAGTACACAGAATATGGAACTACAGTTATTTTAGTAAATACAAACTGCTAAATACCTTTTCTCATCAGCAAAATATAGCAGTTTTTTTTACTTCTATCAGTGTCCAGACAAGCACTGGTCAAAACTTGTAGGAGTTTTTATTTTGCTCTAGGAGAATGCAGAACCCCTGACCTCTGTCTGGACAGTGCTGGTTGGCCCTGTGCTGATCACATGCACTCTCCCAAGAAAAAAAGCCTCTCTAGCAATACACACCAAACTGAGCATGTGCAGAGTGACTCCACAGGATATGTCTTATCAGGAGATAAGAGGGGGACACTGGAAGAAGGGGAGGATCAGAGAAGACAGGATCAAAGAGTGTTTTTTACACAGTGCAGAGGATTACCCCTTAGGCTCCACAGTGAGTATAACAAGCATGCCTTACTGCATATACAGACTGATTTTACTGTTGATATTTAATAACACTTTTAAAAAATCCAGCACCCACCAGCATAAAATCATATATGCTTATACTGTAAGGCAGGCCAAACATGATTCATTTTCTTTTGTTCAATCAGTGGGTGAATGAAAGAATATGAATCAATTCCCGCATCCACACATTCAAGGTGTATAGGGTAATCCACCCGCTGACCTTTTGTATTCTGACAGCGGGGAGGCTTCCCTGTCATCAGAATACACTCATCAGCACTGCCAGTTATAGCCAGCGGCATTGATCAAGCAAATTTTCCAACGAGCTGATTGTACAGAAGTCTATTGAGGGATCAACTTCTGTTGAACCAGCCTGCCCATAGATAGAATGAAATTCGTCCAGTCCCTGATGAACAGGCTAAATTTCAACCCTCCTATAGCTAGCTTAACTTTTTTAATTAGTAATAAATGTTGAATTTCATGTGTGGATATCACTTAATTGGGGTATGTGAAGACCCTCAAGGTTAGAGTAAAGAATCAAAAGAAGTTAGTCTAAAGAAAATTAAAAAAAAAAACATTTTACCAGCGTTAGGAAGTGGTTCTTTGCAGCAAGTGACAGGACTGTATTTACTATAAAAGCAAGTGCCTAGGGAAGCAGGGCTAGAGGGAACAGCACTAAGCCCAAAATGTACTAATTATAAATGTTTTTCTCTTTTGGCCCCATCTGAACATCTTTGACTACATCCAGCAGAGAACTGTAGGATATAACTGTTTTGCAGGCTGGCTGGCAAGTGTTGCTGGGAAATCCTTTGTCTGTAGGATATAATGGGTACAGGGGAAGAGGTCTGAAAGTTCTCTATGGATCAGAAAGCATATGATTTTCTCTTCTTTCTCTTGTGGTATGAAGAGTTGCAAAATAGTTTTGCATATGACGCAAACCCTATGCTACTTCCAATAGCGCATTCTAGAGTAGCCTTTCTCAACCAGGGTGCCTTGAGGTTTCTTCAGGGGTGCCTTGGCAAAATCTCTGAAAATTGCCCAGCATTCTAGTTTGACCCTCCCCTGCCCTTCTCCATCAGTGCTGGGGTCACATTAGCTCAGTGATGGAGAAAAACTGAGGGAGAAGAGAAACATTGGAATACTAGTTAGTACCAGTGTGCAAAAGTGTATTTACTTTGGAAGAATAAATCACCTCTAATGTTGGATGTCCCACATGTGTGGATGTTACTGCGTTATATAAAACTACTAGTAGTTTTTCACAATTTAGAATGGGGTGCTTCAAGACTGTCCATAATTTTAAAGGGTGCCTTGACTAAAAAATGGTTGAGAAACACTGTTCTAGAGTATTTATTACAATATTTACACATTCACAGTTTGTGCAAAGGATGTCAACTGGTAAGTAGGTAAGTCTTCTTGAAAGCTAATTTTCCTAACTAGTATGACTCACTGCGACATGTCATATTCAAATGTGGTTCACAATATGAAAAAGTTTGGGTATGACCAGGGGCGGACTGACAACTCATGGGGCCCCGGGCAACAGGAAATCACGGGGCCCATGTGTCCTTGCCTAAACTCAAAAAAGCCTATGAAATAGGTACCAGGGGCATCTCATGGGGCCCCCTACTAACCCGGGGCCCTCGGGCAGTGCCCGAGTTTCCAAATGGTCAGTCCGCCCCTGGGTATGACAGATTTAGCGAAGCATGAACTTACCTCATGAGACATACCACACTGCAACACGCTGTTCCTGGCTATCTCACACATGTCACATGTGCTAAGCTTGAAGACTTGGGCAGCAATGGCATATTCCTCCATAAGAGGTTCCTGTAGACCCAAACAAGGTATGATCATATTTGGTTTTGGCGTTGGTTAATTGTATACAAGCACACCTGCACATTACTATGGTGTAGAATTTAAAGCAGGATTACTAAGGCTATCATACACTGAAGCTGCATTGATGTTTGTTGGTCCCTACAGTCCCCTTGCTCATATACAGAACCCTTTGTATTCTGTGTACAAAGCATTCTGTGAATGGGCAAGAGGAGAGCAAGGTGAATGAACAGCACTGAGACTTCAGTGTATAGCAGTCTGCAGCTGTTATAGCCGCCCCTGCAGTACTTCCATTGAATCAATGTGTACAGTAATCTCTTAAGACCTAAAATATATTTGCACTGCAATAAAAAAAAAAAACTTTAAAGTATAATACAATACAAAATCTACTTTTAGTGTGTTTGACATTATGTCTTACTCTATAGTTTTCATAAGGAATCATTTTTGTGCATATATTAAACAGTGCCTTACCTGGAGATCCTGCCAGTAACAGCACTTCCTGTTATAGAATGACAATGCTAAGCCAAGTCCTTACAAATGGTAACAGCATTGTCAGTCTGCTACATGTGCTTCTTCGGTTGGCTCTTGGAGTGCTTATCAGGTCAAATAGGCCGATTTAGGATGTACATACAGTTGTGTTCATAATAATAGCAGTGTGTTGATAAAAGTGAATAAAGCTCAAAATCCTTCTAATAGCTTTTACTTCCATACACACAAATGCATTGGGAACACTACACATTCTATTCCAAATCAAAACATGACGAAAAATATATCAAATTTCTGTTGTTCCTCTAAAAAAATTGAAGAAAAGTGAATATTATTCACTATATAAACTGAAAAATGTTTGAAGATTTTGCTTTCCTTTGAATCACTTAATTAATATTTAGTTGTATAAGCGCTGTTTCTGAGAACTGCTGTACATCTGTGTTGCATGGAGTAAACCAACTTCTGGCACCTGTGAACAGGTATTCCAGCCCAGGATGATTGGACTACATTCCACAGTTCTTCTCTATTTCTTGGTTTTGCCTCAGAAACTGCATTTTTGATGTCACCCCACAAGTTTTCTATTGGATTAAGATCCGGGGATTGGGCTGGCCACTCCATAACGTCAATCTTGTTGGTCTGGAACCAAGATGTTGCACGTTTACTGGTGTGTTTGGGGTCGTTGTCTTGTTGGAACACCCATTTCAAGGGCATTTCCTCTTCAGCATAAGGAAGCATGACCTCTTCAAGTATTTTGATGTATTCAAACTGATCCATGATCCCTGGTATGCGATAAATAGGCCCAACACCATAGTATGAGCAACATCCCCATATCATGATGCTTGCACAACCATGCTTCACTGTCTTCACAGTGTACTGTGGCTTGAATTCAGTGTTTGGGGGTTGTCTGACAAACTGTCTCCGGCCACTAGACCCAAAAAGAACAATCTTACTTTCATCAGTCCACAAAATGTTGCGCCATTTCTCTTTAGGCCAGTCAATGTGCTCTTTGGCAAATTGTAACCTCTTCAGCACATGTCTTTTTTTCAACAGTGGGACTTTGCAGGGGCCTCTTGCAGATAGCTTGGCTTCACATAGGCGTCTTCTAATTGTAACAGTACTCACAGGTAACTTTACACCTTCTTTGATCTTCCTGGAGCTGATTGTTGGCTGAGTCCTTGTCATTTTGGCTATTCTTCTATCCATTCGAATGGTAGTTTTTCGCTTTATTCCACATCTTTCAGGTTTTGGTTGCCATTTTAAAGTATTTGCGATCATTTTAGCTGAGCAGCCTATCATTTTCTGCACTTCTTTATATGTTTACCCCTCTCCGATCAACTTTTTAATCAAGGTACTGAACAATGTCTGGAATGATCCATTTTCCTCAGAATTTCAGAGAGAAATGCACTGTAACCAGCATGTACAACATTTGCTGCCTTCCTTCCTTAAATAAGGGCAATAATTGCCACCTGTTTTTCAAAGAATGAATGACCTCACTAATAGAACCCCACACTGCTATTATTTTGAACATGCCCCTTTCAAGTAGTGATTCAATTACACAGAATCAGCAGCATGCATGTCATGACTGTTGGGTCTGTTGGATTTCTATTACTCTACTACACCTGCTAGTAAATTATTTGCCATGTAGAAATATCATTTCTACCAAAAACAGTGATTGATCAGGTTAGTGATGTCTGACTGCTATTATTTTGAACACAACTGTACACTTTGACATTCTATCTCCCTCTGTCCAAGGCTAAGATGGGCCTAGCATAAGACATACTATATATTTCCATGGTAAGTGCATTGATACTATGTAAACTGTAATACTTTGAGGTATTTATTACTCTCAGATAGGTCAGAGCCATTGTCAGTTCCTTCCATGCTTTTAGGGTGCCATCTTTGTTCATACACCACATAGGATCAGCATCCTCTACCTGGATGCTGGCACAGATATCGCATGTTCATGTAAATCCTGGCACATGACTGTGTTCACAAATGCCTGAAGGCTCACGAGTATGTATTGAATCATCGCAGTGTGGTAAGGTGATCTATGAGTGGAAGAGGTGGGCATTTCATTGGTCTGCCTGTCCTACATTTCTTAGAACGTTTTTCATTCATGGAAGCTATAGGTGATCTATGAATAGACGAGGTGGACCTTTCATTCATCTGCCTGTCTTACATTTCTTAGAAGGTTTTTCCTTCATGGAAGCTATAGGACTGGTGATCTATGAATGGAAGAGGTAGACCTTTCATTCATCTGCCTGTCCTACATTTCTTAGAATGTTTTTCATTCATGGAAGCTATAGTGCAGCTTTTATAAATGAAGGGGGGGGTGGGACAGAAAGGGTAGGCATAGTTGGCAATCTTGACAAGTGCATATGTCAGATCCTTCAGTTCAATTTAACCCCCACAGCACTGGAAGATTGCTGCTGTGGGGTGGGATCAGAGGACTGAAGAATTCAACTAAATCACAGCCAGCAACACAAGATTCACGTTACATTGATTGTAAGTATGGTTCATTGTGCTGATTGTTCTGGCAAAAATGTTTTGAATAAACTTAGACTTTGGGCCTCATGCACATAGGACATTTTTACTGTCGCTTTTTAGGGGCATCAGGCTTTTTTTTTTTCCTGCTTCCAAACGCCCCTCCATGGTAGCCTATGTGTCCATGCACACATAGACTTTTATCAGTGTTTAGTAGTAGGAGAGTTTAGAGGCAGGAAGATAAAACCCACTGCCACTGCATCCAGGAGCAGCAGCGTTTTGGCAGAAAAAATGCTTGTAAATACTGTATGTGTTAATGCTAGACACGTTTGAACATTAATTTTAAATGGCCAGAATAAATTATTATTCTAGCCAAAAAATGAATTAACTTGTCCACTTTTGCAAGCGTCAGGTGTTTTTTTTCCAACAAAAACGCTGCTGCCAGGAGGAAAAGCTAATAGGAGAGTTTTCAAAACATCCTGTGTGCATAAGGCCAGCATTTCCAGGTATGGGGCCCTACCTGCGCCGCCATTCGTGGCCGCGGCTGTCAATCATTGGGTCCCGCCCTGGGAAGAGAACTGTTTGTAAACAAAACAGTTTTCCTCCCTGTCAGCTTGTGCACACTGCTTTGCATGGCTATGCACAGCACAGCCATACAAAGCAGTATGCTTATAGTGAAGCACAAAGACAGGACCCCCTAGTAAACCACACCCAGCACACAATTAACCCTTTGATCGCACCTCATGTTAACCCCTTCCTGCCCAGTGCCATTAGTACAGTGTCAGTGCTTTTTTAGCACTGATCACTGTATTGGTGTCGCTGGGGATGTCAGTGACACAAGTCAGTTCCCCCCAGTGCCAGAATGCCCGCCGCAGTGCTGCAGTCCCACTATAAGTCGCTGATCGCTGCCATTACTAGTAAAAATTAAAATAAATTCTAGTATATATACAGTCATTTGTAAATGCTATTACTTTCACGTAAACCAATTCATTTACATATATTGGGAATTTTTTTTAGCAAAGATATGTAGCAGAATACATTTTGGCCTAAATTTATGACGAAATCTGATTTTTAAAATTTTTTTACTGGACATGTTTAATAGCAAAAAGTCAAAAATATTGTTATTTTTTCAAAATTATCTTTTTTTTATAGTGCAAAAAATAAAAAACACACAGGCGATCTACCAAAGTAAAGATCAACTAGTGGGAAAAAAGGACGTATATTTCATTTGGGTGCAGAGTTGCATGACCGCGCAATTGTCAGTCAAAGTAACGCAGCGCTGTAACGCAAAAAATGTCCTGGTCAGGAAGGGGGGTAAATCCTCAGGAGAGCAAATGGTTAAGGCAGCCCATTCATTTGACTAGGCTTCCAAAGCATCACAACAGACTGAAAATTAGACACATACTATTTTTTGTAACAAAGCTCACCACAACGCATGATAGTACATTATCATGTGCTGGTTCTTTGCATTGGCATGCTATTGAAAATAGATGGCACTGCAACACACTAACGTGTATAGTGCCTTGGTGTGCATTACCATGTATCCACGTGTCAATGGATCTTGACGTAGATTGGCCCCTGCTAAAGTTTCTCTCCTTGTGTCTTGTTACAAAGTTGCAATGTTATAGTCTGACTACTGGGAGATCGGAGATTGAAAAAATATCTCTTGCCTGCAGCAAACAGATGGTACCTTCTCATAATAAGAAAAGTCATTGACCTGAAGCACAAGGATGGATTTTTAATGATAAATATTGCAGTTTCCTTTTTTGAAAAATTCTACAGTTGCTG